GGAAATGCTCATCGAGGCCCCAGCCGCAGCCACTTCTGTGCTGCTCTGCTTCTGCCTGAAGGCATGTTCCCATCGGTAGACTTAGAATAGAACCTTCAGGATGCTTGTGAAAAGAGAATTATGAGTCAGCTCCGTGGACAGCTTAGAATTTCCTGCTCCTGTGCTGGAGGCCGTGGCCGGGAAGGGCTAGATCTGCTCTTGGGCCCTCGTTGGGCTCGGCTGAGGAGTCCTGTTTTGCTGTTTACTTCTGGGGGTTCACCTGGGACTTGGGCTCTGACGTGGGGAGCAGCCTACAGCTCAGCGCTGCTTCCCTAGGGATGCACATGACTCTGTGTGGTTCACACAGCTGGACCTCTGAGTTTGGGCTCAGATGATGACCAGGGACTGAGAAAGGTTACTTTCTGCCCTCTGATGTAGCACCAGAAGCCTCACAGTCATTGCTTTGACAGTATCTATAAGCCATAATGCTGTAAGAATTTCTTAAAGGGGCAGATGCCTGGATGACCCCTAGGATGAATGGAGGGTGAGGCTCTGGGGGGTGAGCAGAAGACGGGGAGTGGAGAATGGGCAACCTAAATGATTGAACCCTGCCTCATTCCTTCTACAAATATCGATGGAGTGCCTCCTCCACATGTATCACACCAAGTCAAAGTCTCACTTTATATACTTCCACAGTTTATCTTTTTGCTTTAGAGGGGCTCTGTTTTGCTTTCAGATGGATTTTCAGTTGCTGGGTTTTCTTTCTCTGTGTCACGGTCAGGGAGTTACAGAGCAGTAGGTAAGCATCTTAATGTATAAAGGCAACTCTAATATATAAAGTAGTTCATCCCAGGATTGTTTCAATAGCAAAAAGTTCAGAAAAGCCTATATGTTCATTTAATAAGGGACTGGTTAAATCAATCATGGAACATCCTTATAGTTGGATACTGTACAGATGTAAAAAGGGAATGAATTAGTCATCTTTGTTCCCACACACAAAGATCCCCAAGAGATTAAAAGCAACGTCCAGAACATGTGAATGAGGTGCTACCTTTTTTTGAGGAGTGAGGAGAGATATATTTGCATAAACCCTGGAAGGATATACAACTCTTTTTTTTAATTTCAGAGACATTTTATCTTTAAAAAATTATGGAAAATTTCAAATACATGAAAAATAGAGAAAATAGCAAAAACAAAATAAACAAGCGAAAACCATGTACCTAAGACGTATCTTACCATGATTCTGACAGACATGTCATCCATCCTCACTTTTCCTTTGCATGAGCATTTTAAGGTAATTCTAGACATACCACCTCATGGGATGCACAGCTGCATTTAAAAAGATGCTCACTGCTGGCTTGTTGGGTGGGAGAAGGAACAGGGCAGATGAGATGTGGTAGGAGTGTGCCTTTTTCACATTTTGATTTATGAATGTGTTACCTGTGCAGAACAATGAACTAAATTAAAAGGGATAAATATGTCTTTACTTACAGACAAATTGATTATTTGCTGTGCCCCAGCTAATCCTGTGTTACACTGTTACCCTGCACTTAAACACTCCAGGTCTGCTTTGAAATGGACCAGTGAGGCTATGACCAGCCCACAGAACGTGTGCCACGTTTTTCCCGTGATGCCCTGCTCAGCAGTAGATTATAAATATATTTATAATTCCACTACTCAGCAATAGAGTATAAATATTATAAATACTTATAATCTTAGATTATAAATAAATATATAAATATAAAGCCCCTGGGCTTCCCCTCTTCCTCATCCTAAATTATAAACTGAGCTGACCAGACCCAAAGTGAGCCCTAGGGGACAGGGAAGGCGGGCTGCCTGTGTTCTGCACAGTTAGTTAGCTGCTGTCTTCTGAGGAGGAGGCATGGTGGGAGGAGCTGCAGAGGGTGGGCATGGCTTCCTTTTCCATTCTAGTCCCTCTGTGCAATCTTTTGCTTATCCATTGGCATCCTGTGTACCATATTGTCTCTGTGTTTGTATTTCCAGCTTCTGTTGAGTGGTAGCAAAAACCCCTCTGAGCTGCTCTGGTCCCACCCTGGTAGTTTGGAATGTTCTAATGTTTAAGACTTGCTCTTCACATCTGGCATATTCTCAGGATCAAGGGCAGTTCTTCTGGGCTCAGAGGAAACAAACAAGTGAGTTTCTCCTCTTGAGTGGAGAAAGGGGCAGAGAGAATTTTTTTTTTTTTTGGTTGGGGGAGGTAATTAGGTCTATTTATTTTTAGAGGAGGTGCTGGGGATTGAACCCTGGACCTTGTGCATCCTAAGCATAGGCTCTACCACTTGAGCTACACCCTCCCCCCAAAGAGAATCTTTGAGGAGAGTTCAAACAAAGAACACACAGGCGCGAGCCTTGTTTAAAAGGATCCTGAAAGATGAAGTTCGAGGACACTCAGGACCTCTTCTTGGCTCTGCCACAAATGTACCTTTATATTTTATTCCAGTTTGTGCATTTGAGTCTTACTTTTTGGTTTTTCATCTATAAAATAGTGGGACCCACATTCATCGTCCATTCCCCTTCACTGGTAGTTTGCAAGCCGTCTGATACTTACTGTAGTAGAACTTGAAGGCTATCCTTTTAGTAAAACTTGAAGGCTGTCCTTTTAAGTGGCAACTAAGTGAAGAGTGTGAGTAAGCCCTCCTGCATGCCTGCTCTTCCTTTGACGAGTACTACAGTGAGTACTGTTCTAGGGGTGGGTACCGGTCAGATTGCGATTCAATCAGGGACATGCTGTGTCTCCCACAGGTCTCTTCCTCTTTTGAATAGAGCTGAATACACAGTGAAAACCATATGTGGTCATAATTACCCTTGATAATTCTATAGGAATCCAGCATACAATTTCTCACCTCCTCCCTCCA